GAGAGAACCTTCCACAAGCGGCCCTCCTCCCCTGCCTGGGATGGCAGGTCCAAAGGCCTTTGTCTCTGTCTCTGAAAGAGATGCCACCAGCTGCATTTCCCTATCAGATAATCTCGGAAAATCACACAGGCCCCTCATCTCTCACCTGCTTGGAGGGGAGGCTGAGAATGGGGGAGGGGAGGGGCTGGGTCCAGGGACAGGGCCCCTGGGGTCATGGATGGTCAGCAGTAGGTGACTGGAAACATGATCCCAGGCCCCTTATGGTCCCCTCACCCTGTGTTCTATGAGGGGGTCCCCTGTCCATCTGTCCACTACAACCCATGTCTGTTCCTTTTTGCAGGCATCCCCTGCCCCATCATCATTGCCTGGGCCTTTGGGAAGCTCTACTATGAGAATGAACAGTAAGTAGGACAGGTCAGCCACAGGGGGTCAGGGGGGGTGTTAGGACAGGGCAGCTGTGGGCAGGGCAGCCTCACAGGACAGCTTGGCTTTTCATCACCCTTAAATGAAAAAATATGTCCCTGGCACCCAGAGGTGCTCATGTAGTTGGTGGCAAGCCAACTTTGTTGAACTGAATTAGGATTTCTGGTTTCTTTAAGCTCCCAAATGCATGACCCCTCTGGCCTCTGGGAAGGTCTCCTTAGAACTGAAGTCCATGGAGGAGGCCAGGGGCTCCTGGCTGTCATCCCAGAGCACATCCAAGGCTGGGAAAGTGAGCCTCTCAAAGACCCTGGGGCCAGGGTCCTGTCCTAGAGCCCTACCTGCGTCAGAGCCTCTGCTATACTAAGCCACACCCAGGTGATGCCAACCTGGCCATGGATCAGCCACAGAGCGGCTGGGAAGTCAGGTGCCACCAGCTGAGAGAAGAGGGGACAGGGGAACATTGTCTGAGACTGGAGAAGACAGATGGGATTTGTGGGGGACAGGAATAGAGTGCAGTCAGGAACTTAACATTAGAAAGTGCTCTTAATGATAAAAGCTGCCCAAGAATAAGATTGGCAGCTTTATGATTGTGCAGAATGAGAGTGACCTTCCTGTCAAAGGGGGTATTCAAGCAGAGGGCAGAACCCCCGGTGCTGGGGGCAGCTGGGGAGATTCCTATCTGAGGCAGTGTGCACTGGATGACCTCTGAGGTTGTAGGGGACACAGGCATGGGGCCTTCCCGAGGTCCAGAAGGAGTTGCTGGCAGAGCCAGACTGGCTCCTGGCCCAACCCTCTCCCAGACCCAGACCCTGAAGCTTCACCCACCATTCACCCTGGAGAGCAACTGAACCTCTGGTGGCAGCAGGCTCCCTCTCCTGGGTGAATGAAACTCGCCTGGAAGGAAGGCAGGCTCAGGGCAGAAGGTTCCTGCCTCCATACCTGCTGCCTTGTGAGGCTGAGTGCCTGGCACACGGAGCAGCGGGCTCCAAGCAATGCACAGATGGGCACAGGGCAGCTGGACCCAGGGCCATTGGGGGGCAACTCAGGTCCCCATCATGAGCCCTGGGCCTGGCAATCTAGAATGGGTGAGGGAGCGTGGAGGGAGGAGACTCGGGCTGCCCTCAGGCCGGCTGGGGAGACCGACCCTGAGCAGGGTGCTCAGTAGGGCTGGGACCATCCACCCAGGCTTCTGGGGAGGGTGCAGCCCTGGAGAATGGGTCTTTGGAAGGGTCAAGCCGGAGGACCATGGGCCCGAGTCTACAGTGGTCCCCAGCTGTGGCTCAGCAGGCTGCTGACAGCCCCCCACCTTTGCAGGTGCTGGTTTGGGAAGGAGCCTGGCAACCTAGTGGACTACATCTACCAGGGTCCCATCATCCTCGTGCTCGTGGTAGGTGGACACTGGGGTGAGACTGGGGGCCAAAGGAGCAGCTGAGGACACACCCAGCAGACTCTGGGGTGGGATGTGGCATGGGGAGTCCCCCGCTCCCCCCACTGTCCACGCCACCCTGCTTCCTGACGCCTCCCTTCCGAGCTCGCTCTCCCCACGCTCCCTGCCCATGCAGCCCCCTCCCCTCTCTGGCACTGGGTTCTTCCTCTGGGCAGAGAATGGGTCTGACTGGCCCGTTTCCAGTGCCTTCCCACAGCTCACATCCCCTTGCCAGGTACAATGCTGAGAGCCAGGCCAGGGGGGCAGCTGGTTGCAAGAGAAGAGTGTGCAGGCTTCTGTTCAGCCCAGACCTCCACCCTCCTCCACCCCCAGTGATCCCCTCCGAGACCCAACTCCCCCACCTGCCCCGAGCCCTGGTATCAGACTGAAGCATAATAAGCAATTGTTCCCGGTTCAGCTCTCACCCTTTACCAAATGTTTTCGAATCTAAGGTATAATTGCTGCTTGTCTTTAATCCACAGCGAGCTTTAATTAAGGTAGAGTTTAAGTAGGGGCTGCATTCTGCAAAAATGAACCCATTATATATTGTATGCAAAAAAAGAGAGAGGCACACACAAAAAGGCCCCATAAGAAACTGGCATTTACGTAAGACTTATTTCAGGCTCGGTAATTTCAGGCTCCTGTAGGTACCAGCTCCCTTAAAGGGCCACAGGCTCCTGGGAACCGAGAGAGCCGCATCCATACCCCTCTTGCACACAGCAGGTGCCTAATGAAGGCCTCTTTGGTCTACCTGGGGGCGATTACTGTTTATCTCTTTTATTCCCTTACTCTCTTTCTCCTGACTTTTTCCGGGATTCATTTGACCCCCATCTTTGGAGTGTCCTTGATGTGTGAACTGGCAATGACTAAGAAGGTTTTTCATCTGAGGCCTGGAATTGCACCATCAGGGCTCTGTTATTTCAGAGGCAAAGCCAGTCCCTGTCAGCAGTCAGTAGGGGATGGATTGTCCTTGGAGTCCCAGCTGCAATGAGTCACCCACCCCAGTGGGACTGGAAACCCCATGGGACCCATCCCCTCCCGGCCAGCTGCTGAGAGCCCATCCTGGAGGACAGGGCTTTTCACGAGCCTGGAACCCAGCCAAGGAAGGCTGGCCTGGGTGCGGAACCAACCATAATGGGGAGCAAGCCCCCGAGGCAAGCATGCGGGACGGTGGTGAGGAAATGAGTGGAGCAAGGGTGGAGGGCTTCACATCAAGACTCAACTCCCAGCTTCTTCTCCATGCCCTTCCCGTTGGCCCAGCCCACACCCAGCTGTTTGCACCATAGGGCTCCCAGGTTCCAAGGTTAGCCCTTCCAGAAGCTCTGTCTTCATTAAGTACAGTCCTCACCTTCCCCAATATCTAGAAGGAGGGAGCATGCTTCCCATTTCACAGATGAAAACACTGAGAGACGGAACAACCTGCCTAAGGTCACCGTAACTGCCAGCTGAGCTGAGACTCAGAGGCGGGTCACCCACCATCTGCCTGCCATGCTCTGTTGGGTCTGTGCTTGGTGTCCCTGTACCCGCCGCCCCCCCCCCCAGTAGTTCACAGCAGCATTGCTGCTGGTGAGAGAGACATGCTTGCTTCTGGGTGCTGGGGAGTGAGTCAGCTGGTTGCGTTTGCAGGAGGCTGTTGTGGGGAAGGAGTGTGGCATTTCTGGGCCCCTCTCGGGGCCAGGCAGGGGCTCTGTGGTTATCTGTTGGACAGGTGAGGAAGCAGAAGCTCAGAGAGGCTAATCAGGCTGCTTGCCCAAGGCCACGCAGATGCCAACTGGAACAACCAGAATCAGAGCCTGTGACAAGGACTTGGTGCCAGACGTTCATTTGGGAGGTGGGCCCGGGAAGCACAGCGGGGGGGGGAGTGGAAGACAAGGAAAGGAGGAAACCAGCAAAGCCCCCACCTCCGCTGCTGGTCGGAAAGCTGGGATTCTTAGCCACAGACTCCATTCCTCCTCGATGGAGGTTGTCTCGGGGACATTAAATCTCCACATTTCCAGCCCCCACCCCCGTTTTCAGGCTCGCTCCCGGGGCCCCAGACTGGTGCCTGCAGCATGCAGCACGTCAGGTCTGTCTGGCTGAAGCCTGAGCTCTTCCTTGCATAGATAGCGTCTCCTTGCTCGGTGCCCCTCCCAGCAACATCCCAGCTGCTCCAGTTCCCAATGCTGATTCCAGGGCCCCCACCTGCCACTGGGCATGTCTGGAGTGGGCCCAGGATCTGCATCTGGTACCTTTGACCTGCACACTCTAGTTGGAGGACCGTGGTGTCTGGGGCCCTGTGGGGCAGGGATGAGTGTGGTCTGAGCTTTCTCTGTGGCCAACCAGGCCCCTGCACACACTGGGGCTTGGGGTTTGGGCTTTTGGGACTCCACCTGCCTAGAAAATGCCATCAGGAGGGGAAAGCTGAGGCGTCTAGTGAGGACCAGACTCTGAGCATCAGATACACCCTCACACACTCTCCAAGGCAAACAAGCACAGAGGATAGACCTGCAGGCTCACAGGGGCCATGCGGAGGGTGCACAGCCACACGGACAAGCCAACAAGGTTTAACAGGATACCTGCAGCCCACAGGAGCCCAGGGGCCCAGGCAGGCGGGTCCCGGGGAGAGGAGGAGGGCGGTGGGCTCTGGTGCTGAGACAGCTCAGAACGAAGACAAATGAGGCCCTTCCAGAAGCCTCTGAGGCAGCCCAGCAGCTAGTTCATCCTCACTGACTCAGGGGTGTCTGCGAAGGTCCTGGAGTTGCACTGGCATAGGGATGGATGGTGAGAGGTGAAGCAGTTCCTTCGGCAACTGGGGCGTTATTCACCCATGTGGCCAGGTCGGCTCCACAGGGCAGGGCTGGCCTCAGTAAGAAGGGCCTTGGGGAGACCCTCCATAGTGAGGTGGGGACCCTGCAGTAGAGGGGCAGGGGCTCGGGCAATACCCTGGGCCCAGGTCCTGCTATGTTCCGAGCAGGGCAGTCAGGGACCTGAGGAGTGGCCTCAGGAGGAGTGGCATCTGCACCACATTAGCTGCCTCTGGGCCACTTTAGAGAAGCAGGCCCTGGAGCCCTCAGGTGACAGGCAGCTGAGCAAAAATGAGAAGGGGCACCTCCCTGTCCCTGAGAGAGGCCTTGGGACCCCAGGAAGGTGCTGGGGTGATGAATGTGACGTGTGCACACCTGGAACATGGGTGCTCAGTGGGTTACAGGGAGGTGGCTGCCTCAGCTTATGCCACCTCCTGGTCCTTCCCCCTCTCTGCTTCCCTCCCTCCAGATCAATTTTATATTTCTGTTCAACATCGTCAGGATCCTAATGACAAAACTACGAGCATCCACCACGTCGGAGACAATCCAGTACAGGTGAGTGATGGGCGCCTGGCCCCCGGCAGGGAGAAATGACTGTGCCTCCAGGCAGTGCCCTCTGTGTCCGCCCCGCCTGAGCGGCACCCTCTGCCCCCAGGAAAGCGGTGAAGGCCACCCTGGTTCTCCTGCCCCTTCTGGGTATCACCTACATGCTCTTCTTCGTCAACCCTGGGGAGGACGAGCTGTCGCAGATTGTATTCATCTATTTCAACTCCTTTCTGCATTCATTCCAGGTGGGCACAGGGCCACATGGGTTTGCAGCAAACTTCCCTGACCTGGGACGCTCAGGTGCCCTCACGAGACGGTCACACGGGACGGGTGCACACGTGGTTCGCTTGGGTACACACTGACCCCGAGCCTGGCCCCTGTCACCACCCCCCCAAGTGCCCAACTGGGCCCACCTGACAGGGTCTGGGTCACCCAGCTGGTACCTACTGCTGGCCCAGCACCCGCTCTTAGGATTCACGGCAGCCTGTCACACACAATGTACCATGAGGGGTGGGCCCCCCCAGTTCTGAGACTCTTGGGTCCTGGGTCAGAGGGTTCCCTCTACCCTGTCCCCCTCTGCCCCTCCAAGCAGAGCAATCCCCACGGAGATCCCTGACCCTCTCTCCTTCCTTTCCAGGGCTTCTTCGTGTCCGTCTTCTACTGCTTCCTAAATGGAGAGGTACAAGGCCGGGCCCCAGGGTCCTGGGCTCTGCGGGCCTCACACCCATTCTGGGGCAGATCCAGCACACGTGACCAGCCTCTCAGGACTGTTGGGGTCCCTGGCTCTGCTCAGATCCACAGTGGAAAAGGGGGGAGACCTGGGAAACCACCCAGCCTTGGGGGGACAGGAAGGCTGGCTGAGGGACTCCAGCAGTGTAGGTTGAGTATGCAGCCAGGAACAACAGCCACCAGCCCTCTGCGCCCCGTGAGAACTGGGTGGGCAGGGGACCCTGGGCTACAGGGTCTCTCGGCAGAGGAGCCAGAATAGAGGTGGTGGCAGGAGAGAGCGCGGCTCCCTGAGCCCACCTCGAGGTGTGTGGGACTGTGCAGGTGTCTCTTCTGCTCCTGGGTCCATAAATTCCAGATGCAGGGCTCACTCCTAACGTGCCAAGGGTGGCCGTCAGGAAGGCCACCCCGTGGTCTTCCTTAATGGCACTGAAAGGGGCAGGGAGCAGGGGGGAGGACTGTCCAGGGCCCCAGGATTGGCCCCCGAGGGCTCAGCTAAGTCTGTGCCTCCCTACAGGTGTGCTCAGCCGTGAGGAAGAGGTGGCACCGGTGGCGGGACCATCACTCCCTCCGTGTCCCCGGGGCCCGGGCCATGTCCATCCCCACGTCACCCACACGGATCAGCTTCCACAGCATCAAGCAGACGGCCGCTGTATGACCCTGCCTGCCACCTGCCTCGCCTGTCACTCCAGGGACAGCTTCCCCACCCTCCGCTGCCCGCTGCAGCTCTCCTTGCCACGCAGTCCCAGTGGGGACAGAAGGGAGGGGCGAGACCAGCCCTCCAGCCTGTGCAGCGGCTCGAGGGGCTCCAAGGGACCAGGGCCAGCAGGGCCAGAGCAGAGTGGAAAAGTCACAGGAACCCCGAGAAGGGAGAGAACAGCAGGGCAGGTGTCTCCAGGAGTTTGTGCCACACCAGCCTCTCACACTAGATCCTCATGTAGCCCCATTTGCAGATGAGGAAACTGAGGCCCAGGGCCTGGAAGGGCCTGCCCAAGGCCCACAGCTAGTTTGTCGTGGACCTGGGTTCCCCTGCCCCCTTGTGGTGTGGGCCTTCCTGCCAGCAAAAGGGTGATGGCTGGCCCTGCTCCCTGCCAGTAGCCTCACCACTCAGTGGTGCCCTCTGCAGTCAGGGGGAGGCTCAGCAGCTGGAGTAAGAATTCATTTGGGGGGCTTCATCCCAGGGCCTCGCCCCTGGAGGAGCCTCCGCTACACCCACCCCTGCTCTGGCCACCCCGCTGCGCCTGGGGCTTCCTGAAGAATGCTGACTCCTTTCTGGGAGACCTCAGCCTCGGCCACAGATTCAAGGGTTTGGGGAGGGGCAGGTGGGGAGAAGTGTGGCCAGGGCAGCCACACTTAGGCCTGTCAGGTCCATAGTGCAGGAGAAGCGTGGGGGCCTGGCTGGGGCAAGGAGTGGGGTAGAAGTAGCAGAAACTAAAGTGTGTCTTTAGTGATAGGAGCTAATTCTCCAGCCCCCACCTGAGCCTGGGCACCAGCCTCCCCTCAAAAACAAATTTTTTTCTCCGTGGAATAAACCACACCTCTACGGAAACTGCCTCCCCAGCGGTTAAGTGGACCAGGCATCCGAGGGGGTGCTGTGGGGCAAGGGTCCGTCCTTGCTTGCAGACTCTGGAGCTGGGCTGGGGCCAGTTCTCTCTCTCTGCCATGTCCCCACAGGTCTGACCCTTATCATTCCCCCAGGACACTATCTGCCCCTCCTCCCAACCAATAGAGTTCGGCACAGAGAGGTGTCGCTCACTCCCACGCCCAGGCCTGTCCCAGAGGCCCAGGCTCTGGAATCCCGAGGAACAGGTGGATAAGGCCCACGGTCTCCCTGAGCAACAACCCCGGGGCAGTTTCCTTCCTGGCTTCCATCCCTGCCACCCAGCAGGAGGGGCTGGGGGCCCAGGGGCAAGAGGAGCCATCAGGCCAGGGTTCAAAAGGGCTTTTGCTCTTGGTACATCTCACTGCCCTCAGTTTTTAAAATTGTATATATCTTGTCTTGCACATTTTTATGTTAACATCTAATATTTTTTACGTACATTTTAAAACTTGTGAGAGATGCGATTTCTGGCATTTGGTAAATATTTGTGAGCTAAAATAAAACTGCCACAATACTTTAAAAACATCATACAGGCTCCAAACACAGCACTGATTGATACCTACCCTCACCTATTTAAAAACCCCACAGCCGCTCTTCTTTAAAGGTGGGAGATTCACACGGTTCCTTTTCTCTTTGAACTGTGTCTCCATTCCACGTCCCCTGTGGAATCTTATACGAATGCAGCATTTTTTATGGTTGAAAGTCTTTTACTGCTCACCTCACCATAGCCCTCTGCCACAAAATATATTTAGAAATTGAAATAGAAATATTTGATTTCCTGGGACCAAAGTTTCTGAGGGTGTTTTTTGTTGTTGTTGTTGTTAATCTTCACCTGGGGATATTTTTTTCCATTGCTTTTCAGAGAGAGTAGAAACTGGGGGGAGGGGGGGCAGGGAGAGACATCTATTGGTTGTCTCCTATACGTGCCCTGGGGCTGGGGATCGAACTTGCAACCCCTCGATTGGCAGGCTGATGCTCTTAACTGCTGAGCCACACCGGCCAGGGCTCTAAGGTGTTTTGTTTTGTTTTAAAGTCTTCTAAATTGAGTCATTACAACTATTTCTTTATATAAAATGTAGTGTATGGTTGAGGAAAACAACATGGTTGCTAATTGTTGAATCTAAAAAGGAAAGTTTATTGAAAACACATCTCAATGGAACGGATAGGACCTTAATGGTTCATGAGTCCACGGGTGAACATATTGCAAGAATGAAGCGGGACTCAGCGTCCTGTCCTCTTTTCACCTTGTGGAACTACATGCTGAGAGGCCTTTGCCCATAAATGAGGAGATGCTGCTCGACTCTCTGAACTCCTGAGACATATGCCAAAAACTGCATAGTGATCTGTCACCACAAATGACCTGTCTGCTGGCCACTTGAAGACGTCCCCTTTAAATGTGGTTAAAAACATGAATCGAGAATTAGCAGACTTGCCAAGGGCTTTGCTGCCTCTGCTCGTTTAATTTCTCACCATGGACACCTGGGTGCCAGAGCGGGGTTAGGTGCTGGGGGGAACCACAGTGCACTGTTCACCGGGAAGGCGCTGGGATGCCCTGACTTTGTCCCTTCCCGAGAGACTCGGAAAGTCTTCCTGCGTACACAGAAGCAGCCGATGGCTGCTTTCTTTGCCATCATGAGGGCTCTTGTAGAGAGAGGAGCCATCAATGGCCTGGCCCCAGATGCTCATCAAGGCTCCTCAGACGTCCCAGCTCAATACCCCACCTGCTCCCTGAAGGGCCCGCCCTGAAGGCACGAAAGTCTCTCACCTGTTTTCAGCCGGAGGTTGCCCCACTCCCCCTCCGGTTAGGAGGAGGCGCCTCCTTGGTCCCACGCTGACCCTGTATCTCCTCATTATGGGGGCCCCTGGTCATGGTTCCCGGTGAGCTCTGGCCATGAAATGCCACCAGAGCCATTAGGCCCTGTCCCCTACTTGTTCTCATAAGGCACCTGTTCTGGTAGCCAAGCCCCGTCCTTGTTAGTGGCTGACTCCATGTGGACAGCCCCTCGCTGGGCTGCCTTCCTGGAAAGTGTCCTTATTAGCAGGCTCCCCTCTGGGGTTCGGCACCCAGACCCCTGGACCCTAGGCTCTCCTGTTTAACTCTTTCACCCCCTCCTCCACCTCTGCAATTAATAAAGCTGGAGGAGGCTCACAAGGTATTCCTCACACCAACCGCTGGCCCCAGGCCCACTGAGACCACCAAGAGAGCCCTGACCCCAGAGCTGCCTCCAAGCCCCAGGCCACCATGAGAGTGGGGCAGGAGCCAGGGAATGACAAACATGCCAACAGGAGTGGCAGGCAATGTCACCTGGGGGAGAGAAGGTTGTGGTAGAGGTCTCACCCGAGGGCCGAAGCCACAAGCCCCCCAGTCTCCTGGACTGATGAAATGGACGTAGGGTGGCGCAAAGACACTCAAAGAAACTGACCTCTCACGTGGGGACTAATGTGGAGACGTGGATACACACAGAGGCTCTCAGACCTACAGGTGGACACTCCTGGGCCGTAGAGGGACTCCCAGGAACACACAGAGGTGGGCCTGGAGGCTAGAGGCAAGGGGCTCACCAGTTAGCCATCCTCACAGGCCAGGTGTGGAAACAACACCGCGTGAGACCAGCTTCCTGCTTCAGGAAACTCGGAGACTAGTGGAGAGGAAACAGCTCCCACACAGAGCCAGGTGCAAGCAGGAAGGTGTGTGCTCGGTGTCGTACCTGCGAGGCGCTCTGCCTGTCCTGGTGGGGAGGAGGGGGCTCAGGCCTGAGGACTGAGCACGTGTCAGCTTCTGCCATCAGCACGTGCTTGTTATGTGTCTCCGAGCCACACCCACAGTGGCCCCAAGCTAGTCAGGTTTGTGGGACACAAGAACCTCAGCCGCCCTCCTCCATTTCTTTCCTACTTCCCACCAACCAGGACTGGGGCATCCCAGACTTAGAGACACAGATGGGGAAAGGAGCCCAGTGTTTGCTGCTCCTACTTCCTGTGCGTTCTCAGGACCCCAGGCAGGCGGGCCCATGGGCAGTGAGGCAGCTGGAGCTGGAGGGAAAGGGGCAGGTTTAAAACATATAAATCTATTCATCAATACGCTCCGTGTGGTTTACCAGGCTCTGCCTCTAAGGTACCGCTAGGTCTCCTGAGGGGGCAGCTCCACGTAGGGATGTTAATCGAAGGAAGGGGCGGAGGGTGGGTTCAGATCTCTGCCTGGTGTTGGCTGCATTTCCTCCAGATTTCCTCCTTAGGGATTTCTTTGCTTGGAGCTTAGGGCCCTCCCACAGAGCTGTAGTGTGGCTCCCCCAACACAGAACTATCACAGTGGCCTCCATGAGCAAGTCCCGTCTGTCCTACAGGACCCAGATCAAAGTGCCTCTCTCCCATGAAGCCTCCAGCATCGGGTGGACGTGTCCCCACCAGGCTTCAGGATGGGCAGGGATTGCTGGAGGCGTGGGTTGTGACACCCATAGAGAGAGTTCTGCACCCAGCAGGAGCTCTAGAAACACGAAATAAACTAGCTTTTCCTATTTGTTCCGCCCAGAGCTGGTTAACTCCCAGGCCAGAGTCTTGGGCTAGCAACACAGACCAAAGGCACAAAGAATCCCAGAGATCTATTAGCTTTGCACAGAGAAAACCCATCCTCCAATCCATACCCACCAGCAAGAGAGGCTAGAGGCCTGGCCCTGACCCCTTCCCCGCTTCACACATCAACAGAAAACTGGAGGACAGCCTGCAACATCCTACCAGGGCACCAAGGTGCCACTGCAGGTGTCCACAGAGCCATTTCACCCCCAGGGACCTCACTAGACAGAATTAGCCTTCACCAGGCCCTCTGGAGGGTGACCAGCCCTGGCCAGCTCACCTAGGTTTATGACTGTCACCCTGGTGTGATGACAAGCACATCCCCTCTACAGGTGTTGCGGTTTGAACTATCAAGACTGTGATCACCCTACTTAAACCCCGCATTTGTTGGTGGGCATAGGAGGGGCACAGATGCTGCTTGAACGGATAAGCGATGGAAGCCAGCTGGGCAGAAACGTCCATGTCACACTGTGGACCTGAGGAGAAGGGCCCTCCGAGGCCAGCTCCCGAGTCCAGCCTTGGTGACTGCTTGTTGGACAGATGAGTGAGCGGGGATGGGCGGGGAGGAGTG